TATCTGTATGTTATGGGGTACTCTGTTATAAGCTTTGTCAAAATATATTATATCCACACAATGTATAAGTCACAATGTAGAAATCAATATCTTTCTGATCTGCTCTAGAATCCTCCCAAGTTTAAAATCTTTAGTTTCCTTTCTTCTTCCTTTCCTCATAACAAGAACAATTGCTCTCCTCCAGTTATTTGGTATTTCACCAATTCTCCAGGGGTTAAGGTTTCCCTCAGCAAACATTAGAACTGGAACTAGCACAAACAGCCAATCAAGGATGCAGGTCTCTGATAGCTGCAGTAATTGCAAACTAATGAAGATTTTATGAAAGAATTTCAATAACTGCTATGTATCAAATGCAAGTCCTTCTTATACTGTATCAAAATCAAGGTTCAAATTCTTGCAGTTTTTTCTCCCAGCCATGCAGTGCAATGGACTTGTCTTTTTTTTTAAGCTGGAGCACTTTTCTCTTGCCCCGTATTATAGTAATAGTCTAGTCTGGTTTCAACCTATTTGCTTCCTGCCTTTCCAAAACTAACACCAGACGTTCTTAAAGACTTAGTTTCCCTTAAAATATCATCTTTACATGAACATAATGACCTGATGTTCCAGTGACTTCCATTTTGTCAAAGTGTCCCCTACTGGTTAATAACATGTCAAGAAAAACTAATCCTCGTATGCTGTCTCCTACTCTTTGAAAGAAAAAGATATCAAAAAGACAAATCAGGAATTTCCTGGAAGAACTCCTGGCAAAATTTATCTCCCAACAGATAAGAAGTATATTAAAAATCCCCAGTGTCATTGGTTTGAAATGGGCAGCCCTATAAATGGTATATATAAATAAATATGTCATGTCTCTTTGAAAGATCTGCAGTTTGATTCTGGAAGGCATCATCCACATTTTCTCTTCAGTTGGATGAGCAATAGCATACGTCACATGGATTTTTTCTTTTTTTTTAGCATTAGTGCATTGATAACAATGCCATGAACTTTATAAGACAAGGATTTTGATTTTGCACTGAGTGGCTTAACAAGCCTCATTTACAGCAATATTCCATTTCTTTCTATGGTGTACAAATCTTTTCATGAAGTCCTAATTTATGACATTTGTTTCTAACCTCACAGTCCAAAAGGCCAGCAGCATCAGGAGGCTGGGCTCAAAACAGGCAAGATGATTGCAGCACTGCAATCTAAGTCCCAACCCTTTTGAATGTGCATCAACACTGCACACGTATACGAACTCTGATCACAGTGCTACAACCACCATCTTGCCTGTTTTGACCACATCCATGGATACAACTGACACAGTCTCTAAGACGTAGAGCCCACATTTGGGATGCAGCAGAACTTGAACCAAGGACAAATAATAGCTGCTACATTACCACACACTGATACTCATAGAGCCAGCAGAACTGCCTACATGCCAACTCACTCATAGGTATGAAGCCTCTTGGAGGAGAAACTAAGGGAATAGCAAACAAACAGGACCAGAAACAAATACTTGTTTTAAAAAATCATAAACCATTATCTAATCTATCTTTGCCCTGAGTTGCTTCTCTCTCCATGCTCTTCTGTAATTTTTATTCTCACTACAAAATGGATAAAACAGCAAATACAGTTTGGTTGGTCAAAACTACTTTGGAAGGAATTAATAAAATCCTAGTAAGTAAAGGAAAGATCCTAGTAAACAGTAAGAGAAAGATCTCAATACATGTAAAAAAATAGGTATGGCAAAAAAAAAAAAAAAAAAGAGCAGAGTTAAGAATTTGTGGGGTTTTTTCCCCAAAACATTTTTGGTCTTGCTTCCAAAGTCAAATTTGAGTTTCGTTGTACATGAAGGTGGGGATTGTGCTTTAGCTGACTATTAGTATTGCAGCAGTGTTACAGCAATGCTGCAATCCTATATCTATTTACCTTCATTGAAAATAATACGGATTACTTCTGAATGGTACGTATGAGATACTTTGTTAAAATTGCTATCCTTTCACATATTCAGTTCTCGTTTCTATCAGATTATATCAGATGTAGCAACCGGCATATTCTGCTCTACGATACTGTCATTCCTCCTGGGTTGCATCTTGACTAGTATCAACTAGCACGCATTTGTATTTTAGAAACAACTTCAACAGCGAGGGCCTTCCAGCACCGGCACTTTAGAGGCGTTCAACGTGATGGCGTCATTTCCTCACTCCTCTCTGCCATATTAACCTCGTCAGGGCCACAATGAGTGGAGTCCAAACCTCCCTCCCTCCTTTCCTGACACTAGCAGCCGGGACAGCCCGGAGATTGTCCAAGGTCACCTTCCAGCATTTATTCCGCCCCCCTCCCCGACACAAGGAATTACACGCTCACCATTCCTCGTTGCAGGGGCTGACTGTAGAAGCAGCGCAGCAGGCGAACGCTTTGGACCTGGGACGCGAGACCGCTCGCCACACAACAAAAACGATGGAGAGGAGGCAGCGAGCGATGCATGGTGGCGGAAGGGTAGATACCTGGGAGGAGGAGCCAGGAGACAGAGTAGAGGCAGCCAATGGCAGTGCAAAAAAGGTAGAAGAAGGACCCCGACTTGAGGAAACTTCGTGGCCCGCAGAGCCAATCAAGAAAACCGGGAGGAGCTGAAAGCGGGCGGAGTCTAAGAAAATAAGCCAATGACACAGCGGCGGGGAAAAAAAGGAACAAGGAAAATAGAGTTGGATCGAGTGAACCTCCGGCGCATTATTGAACAAGTGCGCATGCTTCACTTGCAAACGAGCTTGCGCAATGACTACGTTGATGCGTTTTGTGTGTCCTTTTTGGAGAAGCAAATACATTTTTGATAGTCGTGGGAAAAATCGAGAACACAGAAGATTTTCACCTATGCCTACTTAAGCACTAGCAATATTTCTTCCTCTTTCCCTCCTTTTTATTTCTCTTTAAACCATCTTACTTAATGAAGCGTCCTTGAAACGAAAACTCTCAGGCTATTTTGCAATCTGGAATTACTCTAAGCTAGTTTATTATCAACTGGAAATTTTTCGCATTTGCTTTTTGTGACTTAGAACCTATTAGAACAGTACCTATTTCACAGCAAGATCTTGTACAGGAAAGTTATTAGAAACTGCCTGATTTGTTCAGATTTTTTTTTTGCCTGTATATTTTCCTAGTAATATCTACAGTATTCTCCAACTGTCCTTTTTTCCCACCTCTAGTAATGAAAATAATTTCACGTAATAGATGCATTTTGTATTTTTATTATAGGGGAAACGATTATTTCCTTATTTTTCATTCCAGCAGCCTTGGAGAAATTCAGAATGTGGTCAACCATCAGTTGTATATCTGTTGAGCCCAGTTGGTATATGTGTAGTCTGCTCCCACATTCCATCCAGGATGATAATTGATGCAGAGGTAGCTTGAATTTTATTATATTTACTTTTCTTTCTGCTTTTTAAGATTTGATAAATAGTTGTTCAAAGTTGAAAATTATTACTGTTTGATAACTTGAACTTACTCAGTATATTCGTTTTGCATTAAACATTTCAGGTTTTGTGTTCTGTTTTCTGTCTTGCATGGGATGCCATTAGATATAAATTTCAGTTCATTCTTCCTTAAAAAGGTTACACTCCCTTAAGTCAATCTTGAATCCAGATGTCTACATGGGAATGCCTATGCAGTTTTCTTGGCAGTAAAACAGAGGTGGTGTTCCATTGTTGCTTTCTGGAATGTTCTTTTGACTTCCCGGTCTATCCAACAGCCTCAGATTTCTTGGTGGTCTCCCACTGAAGTACTAATCAGATACAACTCTGCTTAGCTTTTTTCAGACTTCTGTTTCTAGCATTTCACTATACAGGGTGTCAGTCTTTTCTCTTTTTTCTTTTTCTTCATAGTTAGAAAGACAAGAAATTACATTAGTTTTGATTACTGTAGTAGTTTGACTCAGGTTCCTGCTTAGGGCAGCCAGCTTACAATGGGCAGGATGGTGCAGTGAATGATGCCTCTGAAAGGGGCAAGGCTAGGGCTTATAGGGACTCACATAGGGCTGATGTACTAAATCTCAGTGTAATGATGGAATTCTTTCTGTTCCCCCAGTCCAAAAGGGTGAGAAACTGCTAACGTTTTGGAAAAATTTAGTCAAAATCCAGTGATGCAGATTCCAGGAGCTGTGTAGTAGTTATAGGGTCCTAATCTTTGATTGTCTAATGCTGTAACCAGTAATGCTTATATATTCTATGGCCAGCCAAATCCAGGGACATTTCTGCAATTATAGAGTACAGGTTCCTGCCTGAATAAAAGGAGCACACAGAGACTCCAATTTCTCTTTGATACCTCAAGTGAAGACTTAAACAGAAAGGGTGAGGCTGGGGAAATTCCTTTTGATTTTGCTCAGCAAAACTCCTTTTCCCCCTTCCCTCCTGGATGCTAGGATTCCAAAATGATTAAACTTTTGTTCTCTCACATC